GGACGTGATTTTCTTGAACGGGTATGTTGCACACACTACTTCTATGTCTGATGGTAATGAAGAATGTTGTTACTTGCAACATGAGATTTTGGTCAGCATATTTCATCCTTATCATGGACCATCTGTCCATTTTAATTTATCTGGTAAATTGTAAGCATTGTCGTATGACAAGTATATTGCTATCTTGCAGATTCGAGACTATAGAGCTGATTGGGACCTTCAAGTGAACCAACCTGTTGCTGGAAACTATTATCCAGTATGTTGAGTTAGATCTGAAGTTAGTAGATTTTTTTCTTAAGAAAAGGATTTTTCATAAATCGCTCTGCTTATTCAACTAACTGGAGACTGGACGAGTTTATTTTTCTGAACTTCAAAGATGACGAAGTATTCTCCTTTATTGTGGACTTAGTATGTATCTCCAGAGTGATTGAATATTTTTGGCTTCAGAAATGAAAATTCAGTCGATGTTTCTTTCAGATCAATCTTGGAATTTTCATGAAAGATAGGACCACGGAGCTCTCAATCTTGGTGGATAGATCTGTGGGAGGTTCAAGCATTGTTGATGGCCAAGTGGAGTTAATGCTCCATAGGTTGTTCTAATCTTCTTTAGTGTTTTTTTATTTTATTATTAATTTTTTTTTCTCTAAATTGAAATTTAATTTCCTTCCTTTGATATTTGTATATATACTGGTCGAGAGACAACCAACAGGTTTGAGATAAATGACGTGAGGCCCCTTGTTTTATAGGAGATTGATCTATGATGATGGCAGAGGTGTTGATGAGGCTTTAAATGAAACAGTTTGTGTTCTTGATAATTGCACAGGTTTAACGGTATGATGTCTAGTAAAAAATCTAAAATTAAACTAGATGTGGGTGCCAAAATCTGCTGCCTTTATTTTGCAGTGTACTTCTGAGGCTATATCTAATTAGATTAAATAGCATCCTTACTTTCTTGCAGGTCCAAGGGAAGTACTTCATAAGATTTGATCCACTTGGAGAGGGATCCAAGTGGCGTCGAACATTTGGACAGGAGATATACTCTCCATTTGTTTTAGCTTTCACTGAGCAGGTAATTTAAAGACCTGCAATTTGTCTGCTACTAATGCAATCGTTCTGTTTAACTTGACATTTCTTTCATGTAACTATAGGATGAAAACTGGACAAACTTCCAAGTACCATCATTTTGCGGCATGGATCCATCCTTCAGTTTACCCCACAATGTTGCAATTATAACTCTCCAGGTAACACTTCAGTGCATCTTCAGTTTTTTTTTATTTAATGCAGTTCATTACTATTCAATCCACATTGCTATATATGCTGTCGGTGTAGAACGATGGTTGCATTTATGAGTTATCAACTAATTTTACTTTTAGACTTTAGTATTACCTCTTTGTTGCGATACCTCAGGAGCTTGAAGATGGAAGTGTCCTACTCCGGTTTGCTCATTTATACGAGGTTCGTTCTTCTTCTTCACACACCAGAAAATATCATTTTTCTTCCAATGTTCAGTAAAAACCTGTTTTGTGCAGTTATTTGTTTTGATTTTCTGAAAGATATTATTATGAAAACATTTCAGAAAAAATGTTGCTTGTCTGGTTATGATTAATCATTTCGGTCTGATCCTAGGTTGGAGAGGATAACGACTTTTCAATATTGGCAACCGTAGAGTTAAAAAGAGTTTTTCCGAATAAGGTAAGTATTTTCAAGTCAAATAAGTTAGTGATTATACTTTTGTATCTTCTATTGATAATAAATAACCTTCACATGTCCTCGTTTAGATGATCAAAGTTACAGAAATGAGTTTATCTGCTAATCAAGAAAGAGGAGAAATGGAGAAGAAAAGATTAGTTTGGAAAGTAGAAGGCTTGAATGGAAAACAAGACAACGTGTTGAGAGGACGTCCAGTCGATCCGGTGAAGTTGGTCGTGGAACTCGCACCAATGGAAATTCGTACATTCATCATAAACTTCAACTAAAAGTTCTCCTCAGTTACAAGGTGATGTAAGTTGACATCAGTTGATTGGTCGAATAACAGTTATCGGTGAGACTTTAGAGCATCGAATTGTACATGACTCGAACGTAATAAGCAGTTCTAGCAGTTTTTACGGGCTTTATGCTCTACCAAAAAATAATGTGGAACTATCTATTAAGTTAATGATGTTGCCAACTATATATCAATTTGTGGTTGAATTGTTCGAAGAGTTAATGATGTTGCCAACTATATATCAATTTGTGGTTGAATTGTGCCAACTATATATCAATTTGTGATTGAATTGTTCTTCGAACAGTTTCGGTGAAGAATTTAGTTGTTATTGGCAAAAGAATGTTATTTCTGGAGTTTGAAGTTACTCCTTCGAAAACAATCCGACATAATCACCTGAATGTAATAATAGATCAACATGATCCAAAATTGTAATTCGAGCCCACCGATTTCACGATGTTTCCTTAAAACGAATTTACTGCCTTCAACGGTGCTAAAGGCGTCTAGCAATCGTTTCCCAGGATAGAACGAATTTTCGTCTCCTACGAAAGCAGCACTGCAATCTACAGGAGTTCCAACGAACTCAACAAAGTATGTTTTACTTCGAGACAATATCAGAACGAGAAAGAGAGAGAGAGAGGGAAATGAGATTCAAAGCACAGAAAGTTTACAATGAAAATGGTGTAAATTTTCTGGTAGAAAGATTGGCTATTTATAGACTTGTTCGTGGTCATTCGAACAGTCATCACGTTTCAGACAAACCTCAAAAATCCGAACAGACATACTGTTTTTAAAAGTCGTGTCTGTTAAGTCGTTAACAGTCGGCTAACAGTCGACTATTTGGTCGGTAAACAGTCGAACAGTCAACTGTTAAAAGAAAATAAAATATCTGGAATAAGCCAAAATTTAAATTTCATATTGTACCCAAGAATTTGATTATTTACAATTTGGCCCAAAATTTTAAATAAATTTTGTCTAAAAAGTTAATATATTGTAAAGGTCCACTCGTACCCGCACCGAACCGGACTCGTGCCGTGCCGAGCCTGTCGGTCGGACGACGGCGACGGCATGCGCGCGGGGGTTTATGACCGAACCCAATAGGATATAGGTCTTCCCCCTTCCAAAGACGCTTGGAGCCCAAACCCAATACCAAACTTCCACCTTATAAACTACACCAAAGTTTCCTAACTTTCTTATGTGGGATAAGTGTTTGGAAAATCAAATTTTTCCATAATCCTTAGTTTATGTGGGTTACTTTAACACTTAATATTTCATTCAATTTTAAATGGTTTTCGATAAATAAATATATCATGTTAATCATCTCGTGGAGTAGAACGTGAATATGCTATGTCCCGTATTAATTGAAAGGTGGATCCCGCTGAAATTTGGGTTTAAAGTTGAACCATTAACCATTTTTTCTAACAAAGAACATAAATATCCAATGTTTTCCAATGGGATAATGATTGTCCATAAAGTGAAGTACAAAATTATTATTTTTTAAACCAAAAATTCCCTTTCTAATCTCGATTCAACTCGGTTTCTCCCCTCAAGACAATCACTTTTTTTTCACATGATATAACAAGAATATAGAGAATGATGGTTAATGGTGAAGTAGTGGTGTCAATACCATGCAAAAAAATTTATCAAAGCATGGAGGATTCAATATTCACTACTACTATTTAAATGACCCATGTATTAAATAATTGATACTCAGTACTTACAGGGTGATCATAATTGAGATTTTAATGAATTGTAAAAATACTTGTAAATATAAACATTCACGATTGATATTTAAATGAATCCTATTAAAATTTAGGGTAGTCGTCTGAGATTTTAAAATTTTCATTTAAATTTACTAAAATCTAGCTCTCTGATAACTCGTGGATGTATCAGTTTTTAATTAGGGGAATTTTAAGAGATTTATATATATTCAAATAAAAATACATATAACAAAGGATTTCGAAATTTCACTATTTTAATGAGATTCTTATGAATTTAATGAAAATCTATACAAATTCACTAAATTTATTATAACTCATAATCTTTTAAAATTGAAATATCTTAAATAGTGAATCAATACGTATATGTGTGGGCATTGATATATCATTAGTATAATAAAATCTATTTTTTTTTTTTATTAATGTATGGTTGTATATTTGTTTGAGCCCCATTTTTTTTTTTTTTTTGCCAAAATGAATTTTATAATATTATTTTGTTAAAAAATGTAAAATTTTCAATTTACGTGTGAAATATTTTTGGACCTATTTGACCCCATACGCATTCTTTCAAAATTACATTCTTAAACAATGATTTGATATCATTTCAACCCACATTCTTCAATACTATTACACGTAAATCAATTTTTTTTTTCAAATTTTTTAACCATATATTTTTCAACGATTCACTATTCAAAAATACATTATTATAAAAATAATGTGACTCAAATAAGAGTTTTATAAGAGAATGAGTTTACAAAAAAATGGGGGTCATTCCCATTTCAACTTTTAAAATAACATTTCGGCCATATTTGATAGCAATATATCGAAAATGGAATTCAAATTCTATCTTTCACTTTTTTACTGTTTGATAACATATTTTCTTCATAAAATTTGGTTTTCTTCAAAATTGGAATTTTCTTGTTTTGCTTGAAAACCAATTGGTTTTCTAGGTGGAATTTTCTTTGTTCTTTTTTTGTTTTTTTTGACAATAGAAACAATTTTTATTCTCAATACTAGTAAATTTTATTCCTTTAATTGACAATTTTCATATATAACAAGCCAAACGAACACCAAAAATACTTTTATTTTAACATTTTTCACTTGAAAAATTATACCAATCAAACACAATAATTAACGATTCTCAGTGAAATAATTTTTAACCAATTCAATTTTCTAGAATTCGTTTTTCTTCAACCAAAATTTCATTTTTGCAATCAAACATACTTTCAATTTCGGTCCCAGTCCCAAACTTGTCCACCCGAACCCGACCCGCCCCGCTAAGACCTCTCTCTTCTACTCGGAGGAAACCTATGCGCTCAAGGCATCAGATTGACGTTACGAACTAAAACTCTAAGCCCGAACGGAAGCAGCAGCAGCTATGCGCATTCCCTGCGCATTTTAGAAACAGCCGGAATATACCGTCAATCTTCCCATTCAATTGGACACCCACCGTTTTTCAGATCTGAAGTTCAATTCAATTCATTTTGTTAGATTTCTTAGATGGCAAAAGCAAACGATGTCGCCGCTATGGAAATCGACGATCAGAATTCGGTCACCACTGATCAGATCAATATCCCCAAGTTCTCCGTCAATGGTATATAATGTATTTGACTACTACTCTATATATAATTGATTTTTTTATTAATAGTTTTGGCCAATTGACAGTGCTGCAGCTCTTGAAATCGGCTCAAATGCAGCATGGGCTGCGCTTTGGCGATTACCTTCGTTACCGGTATAATTCAATTACTGTTTATAATTCTATTTTTCAGTGTGCTTGCGGCGCCTTTCTATAAATGAAAACACTCTTTTATAGTTTTTATTTACTTATTTTGAAAGGGGAAAGGTGTTATGGTTGGAGCTCAACTTCAACCAAAATCAACTGAAATTCAACACACAATCGAAAGCAATCAGCTGGGAATCAATAGCCCAAGCTATAACACTATGAATTGAAATGAAATTACAATGAATTAGTGAAATGTAAACAGAAAGGAGGAGGGAAATGAGGAAATCGGACAAGTAAGAAGAGAGAATTCAGATTTAGAGAGAGGAGGAAGAGAACATATTTAGAGAAATAAAAGATAGAACAGAGATAGATTCCAACGAGAGGAAGGCGGAGGGGAAAATTCTGTTTTGCAACAACTTTTAATTGCTCTTCATCCTCCCCGTGTGCTGAATTTATAGAGTAGTCACGGGATATTCTAGAATGCATTAGCTCTGGTGGAAGTGATGACATCCTTTCCCCTTAAATTAACCTTGTCCTCAAGGTTCAGAGTTTGGATATCTTCTTTGTACGAACTTAGTAGCGGCCTCATTCTCTTCACCACTCTTGGATTAAGCAGGTAGTGCAATGTTACATATGCCTTATGAAACCCTGGTGGCTCATTCTTTTCTTCATCCATCTTGTTCTGAGCTCACACATTTTCTCTAATAAATCCGAATACTCTATTGCTGGTAAAAGAATTCTTTGTAGAACTTTTTAGATATTGAGCTCCTAATGAATGTCGTCTCAAAGCAGGCGAAACTTCATCTCTTGTATTCTTAATTTCAGATCCAAAAACAGAGGAATCCATTATTTTGACAGTTCTTCAGGCATTGTGATTGCGGTCAAACCATTCGCTTTCTACTCTATTGGGTATAACTAATTGAAGTTTTGGTAACAAAATCCCTAAATGCTCCTTAAGAGTTCTAAGCGAAATCCTTACATCTCTCCTAATGAATGTCGTCTCAAAGCGGGTGAAACTTCATCTCTTGTATTCTTAATTTCAGATCCAAAAACAGAGGAATCCATTATTTTGACAGTTCTTCAGGCATTGTGATTTCGGTCAAGCCATTCGCTTTCTACTCTATTGGGTATAACTAATTGAAGTTTTGGTAACAAAATCCTTAAATGCTTCTTAAGAGTTCTAAGCGAAATCCTTACATTTCCAACCTGAAGGGACTCAGTTTTCTACTGGAAAAGCTGAGCAGCAGTTACACTCAACTCAACTTCCTTCATTCTTCTGTAGTCTTAAATGTCTTCTTAATCCCTTGTATCTGTCCCAATTCTCTATTGGCTCCTCAAGGACCCTCGTTAAAAGCTTCTGCTCTTCATAACCCCGATTTTTCATCCTAAATGAAATGGATGCAATGTTCATATCCTGAATTAAAAACTGTCCAGATTTAATTTCATTTCTTCCAACCCGAGGCAATGATGATTCAATGCACGTTGGCTACAGTACGCCATTCAGTTCAGCAACTGATATCTCAACTTCACTCTTCATTTCTTCCGATAGTTGGCCAATTCTCCAAAATTCTCAACTCCCCTTTGGAGGCTGATTTAACCTCAATCATTTTATTCATCATTGAAATCACCAATTCGTGGTTCCTATTAGAGCTTGTTTGGTATAGTTTAAAAGCCAATTAAAATCAAATTTTTGGCCGTTATTTTACTATTCCAGCCGTTATTTTTGAATTTTTCTCTCAGAGGTAGGACCCACTTTATCTCAACGGTCAAAAAAATCAATTAACAAAATTCCTACCAAACAAACACTTAATTTGCTTCATTATTTGTTCCATCCTTTCTTGCTTAGTGCATACCACTTTCAGTGTTTGATCAAATGATTTGAATGAAGGGCACACCCAAATCTGATATTTCTTTGTCTAACCTCTTAATGTACTCTTCATTTGATTTCCTTCTAGTTTCAGCCATACCTAGATCACATAGCTTCTCAAATACCATTTGTTATGGTTGGAGCTCAACTTCAACCAAAATCAACCAAATTCGACTCAAGTTCAACACACAATTGAAAGCAATCAGCCGCAAATCAATAACCCAAGCTGTAACACTATTAGTTGAAATGAAATTACAATAAGTTAGTGAAATGTAAACAGAAAGGAGGAGGGGGAATGTAGAAAATCGGATAAGTAAGATGAGAGAATTCAGATTTAGAGAGATGGAAGAGGAAGAGAACGGATATAGAGAAATAAAATATAGAACAGAGGGAGATTCCCACAAGAGGAAGGGGGAGGGGAAAATTATGTTTTGCAACAACTTTCAACTTACTTTTCATCCTCCCCATGTGCTGAATTTATAGAGTATTCAGAATATTCTAGAATGGATTAGCCGTGGTGAAAATGATGACAAATGGTGGGGTCTGAGATACTGAATTAGGTTTTGTTTTTCGGAGTTTTGTGTGAAATTGATGCAATTTATTATTATCATTATTATTATTATTTTTTAAAATTTTTGTCGAGTCTGCTCATTCATTTTGAGTTCTTAGGCGATACTGCACTGCACGCTTGAGAAGACTTTACAAATCTCTGAAGTTCACACACGGCCGTGGAAAATATACTAAAAAAGCCATTGCTGCGTCTACAGTCACTGAAGTCAGGTATGTGACCATGTGTACTGGTTTCCATATTCATAATTTTTATTTTGTGAATCACAGGATTCAATTGATGTCTTCATTTAAGAGTTTAATAATTTGAAGATTTTACTTGTGTTGTCTATGAAAGGATATGCAAATTTTCATAATTATATTTTAATTAGCAGGTCAATTCATGAGGCTTTCGTGCTGTTTAAGTTTTCTAGTTTCCTAATTTCACCTTTTACCATATAAATTCATTTCAATTATAATTCAATTTTCACCAAAACTGTCATATCCCAAAAGAGTATATTGAGTAACGTAAGAAGCTCTCATTTGAGCTTCTTCACTTCCACTTGAATGATTTCTTGTGGAATTCTTTCAAGTCTTGTAAAAAGATCCACGGCTACTCACAAAGCCTTTTTTTTTTTTTTTCGCTGATTTCTTTTTCAATTCTTACCGAAAGATTTCTTTTAATTGAAGCACTTGTTCCCTTGTACAAATATAGGTTTCTCCATTTGGTTCTCTATACGGCTGAAAGAGCATGGAGCCATGCCATGGAAAAGAAAACGTTACTAGACGGTCCAAATGCACGCCAACGCAGCTACCTTATAGGTAGATTGAGGAAGGCAGTAAAATGGGCAACCCTTTTCCAGGAGTTGTGTGCCTTCAAAGGAGATTCCAGAACATCTCTAGAAGCGGAGGTGTGGGTTTTGACTTTGATTTGGCTTCTTTGTTCAGTGATTATATTATGACTCATTTATTAGATTACCATATTCCTTAAGCCTTTAAGTAGGCTTTTTCTTGTTAGCATCGTGGATTATTGCTGTTTTGATGGCCTTCTATGTCATCTTTAAAGTTTCTTAATATGAATGGCAATTTTAGTAGATGTAAAGCAGGAGAGGCAGTTTCTATGTCATGATAACACCCATGAATAGTTGGATAGGCTCATGGAAAGTATACGAACTGGTAAAGGATTATTGGACAAGTAAATGAACCTATTAGTGAATTCATCAATGCTAGCTGCTGTATCTTTTTCAGAGAGTACACAAGACTTTTCTTCCCTTGTCTTGACTTTTTAAGCCCACGGCTTTGATTTGTTTGAGTAAATTCTACCCTGAATTATTGTAATACACGATTTTACCTTTTTCTGCCCACAATATTTTAGGTAAAAATTGATTTTCCTGGTTGTATTCCGTTTGAATTTCAATGTCTTACATGCATAACGCTGTTCTATCTTTGTTGAGTCATGCTCAACTTCTTTTTAATTAAAAAAAGATAAAATTTCTTATGAAGCCGCTTTTGGTTTCTAACTTGCAGGCCTATGCCGCTTATATGAAGGGAAATTTGTTATTTGAACAAGATCAGCACTGGGAAATAGCATTGAAATGTTTCAAAAGTTCCAGGTACATTCATGTCAGATAATTGTGTAGTTTGGCTTATTCATAGATGGGAAGGTTTAGCTTTTTGGCTTTTATACATAGCATAAAATTCTATTTTTTGACTCAAGAAAAAATTAAGTGAATTTATTACGTCTTTGCACCAGATGTTTTTACATTTTCATCAGCTCACTACCTGTTTACAAGGGTATTTCTTCCGTCTTTGCTGCTGTAACGTTGGCTAACTCCATAATTCTGATAGGGCTGTTTATGAGGAACTTGGGAAGTATGGAGACTTAGAGAACCAAGTATTGTGCCGGGAACGGGTTGAAGAACTCGAGCCAAGTATACGATATTGCCTACACAAAATTGGGGAGTCAAATTTACCAACTTCTGAACTAGTACACATAGGAGAAATGGAAGGGCCTGCTCTCGACCTTTTCAAAGCTAAATTGGAGGTGTGTATTTTTCCAAGTACGCAATGCTTGTTATAGATGCAGTAGCTATATTCTGATTATATTCTTTTTCATAGATTAAGGGGAGGGTAGTTTTGTCCTAGGACACAAGGAAAAAAGAAGAAACTACACGGGCGTCTCGCTATGATTTAATCCTCATTGACCTCCTTTTATTTTTTATTTTTAATTTGATTGTTTTCATGGTAGGCTGCCATGGCTGAGGCTAGATCTCAGCAAGCTGCGTCTATGACAGAATTCTATTGGCTTGGTCATAGATTTCCAATTTCGAATGCGAAGACTCGGGTTTCCATACTGAAAGGTCAGATTTACCTAAGTCATTAGGGTCTTGTTTTCTTTTATTTTCCTTTTGTATGACATGTGCTAAACTTTTTATGGGTTGATTGGATTTTTTTGATAATTATTTCTAGTTTTCACCTAGAATGCCTTTTAAGTGTTGTTTTGAGTGAGGATGAAAGGAGGAATTATTTCTAGTTTTCTAGATTTAATTGTTGCATCTTTATGTGATTTATTTTGCCTGTGAATGCCTCCTCCTTGGTTAGAGTTGATGACTGATTTAGTCTTGCATCATTCATTTTGCATTTCATTTCAACCCTGCCTCAAGCGCTGTTTTTATGTTATAAAATATGATCAGCTCAGGAGCTGGAAAAAGATATCAATGGTCCAGCAGCAGATTCGCTTCCTGCAGAGAAAAAACTTGTATTATTTGACAGAATATTTTCTGCTTACAATGAAGCCAGGAGCTACATACGCAATGATTTGGTGAGAACTGCTAGTTGCTATGCGAAATGTGGTTGTTTCCTTTGTTATTTGTCACACGTATTGGACATGGTATCAGATTTCTATCAATTCTTTTGAAGAGTCTGACTCAGTTAATTGTTTTCTTTAGGTTACCACAGGTAATTCTGAAAAAATGAAAGATGATCTGAGTGGCCTTGATAAAGCTATTGGTGCTATCTTAGGACAGCGAACAATTGAGCGTAATCAGTTGTTGGTGAAAATAGCCAAAAGTAAACTCAGCAAGCTTCACGTCGATAAGAATGAAAAAATAACGAAGCCTGAAGAACTTGTCCGGTTATATGATCTTCTACTACAGGTGAATGTCCATCATATTGTTCTTTCCGCTGTAAATTTTGATATTTCTAAGTATAAGCAAAAATAATTTTGACGAAAAATGAGCAGTTGACGCTCTAGGAATAGCAGTAAGCATGGTTATATGCATATTCTGACAGAACATACTTTTCTTTCTGACAGAATACTGCTGATCTTTCTGACTTAGTTAGTTCGGGAAGAGATAGAAAACCAGAAGAAGTGGCATTTGCCGAGGAATGCGAACTCAAAAGTTCTGCCTTTCGAGCAGAAAGGTTTGACCCTTGTCAGTTCCTTTTAGTTTATGCCTTTTCTTTTCCTTGGCTCCTTGCAGACATCACTTTAGATTATATAATTATCTTTTGGGACCGATTCATTCACTACTGAATTTGTTTGGATGAACATACTTTTACCAAGGGAACTATCATTTGTCCCTTGTATTGTAAGATTTTAGGCATATTGTTAAGATGATATTAGATTGTTATCCTCCTTCCTATCTGCAACTACTGCATTTTTCAAGTGCATAGTAGGTTGTGTAGTCTTTTAGCCTTCGGGGGACAAATATTACTACTTTGACATTGACACTCTAGTTTGCATATAGTTTGTTATTTACTTTTGTTGCCTGTGTATTGTTCAAATGTCTCATACCGCTGAACTTTTGTTTCTAGTTTTGGTCTGATATTCCTTTTGCATGGTATGATAACTCAAATATCCAGCAGTCTCATTTTTTTCTTACGTTAGCAGTCGTGTCTTTCTTTGGCATTTCTTTAGTTCGTATTAGAAGTGTTTTCCAAACGTGTGATCAATGTGAACATGTGTCAAATTAGATAAAGCTTCCTTATAATTTGTGCAGGTGCTTTTACTTAGCTAGATCTTACAGTTTGGCTGGAAAGAGGACTGAAGCTTACATTTTGTATGGCAAAGCTCGCTCTCTGGCTGACACTGCCCTTAAGAAGCTTCAGAGTTCGAATAATGCTGATGAGGTGTGCAGGTTTCTTATCTTTAAAATACTGTACATTTGTTTTATGTATTGTGCATTTTAACTCGTATTTATTTGGACAAGGGCCTGTTGTTATGCTTTACTCTGCTACTTTTTTAAATTTATATCCAAAATATTCCTCTGTTGGCTCATGAGGTTGTCCATATGTAGTTACAGAACCATGTGGGGAATCCTTTTCTCACTGGTATTATTTTCTGTCAAAATATTTACCCTTACACTTGTGGAATGTGTTCGAGATAATAACTTCCAATTCCCTGAAAACTTTACTTGAACTCTCTTTATCTCCTGTCTTGGGGTTTCATCACTCTTAACAGGTGATGATCAAGGAGTTGAAGATGCTGTATCAAGAATGTAGATCCAACAGCTGTATTGAGCATGCAACAGGGATTATGGAGGAGAATAAGGCTCCGGAAAATCTTTCGAAAAAGATTTCGAGTATATCATTAACAGGAAATGATAAGAAGGTATTGCACATAGCTTTCCCCTTTAATGTTTCCTTGAGCAAACTAAATCGCACATAATTGAATCTTCATGGGGGAAACGTCAAGAAGGTATACATTCTTGACGGGCTTACCTGTGTGCCACAACAAATGTTTCAAGAATTAGTAGTTTTACCTCAATTTAATCTTCATGGGGAAACCTACTGTTAAATACTGGTCTTAATCCATGGGATGTCAAGTCCAGTAAATTTCTTCTTTCACCTTTATAGCGCACAATAACTATGACATTAATTCTCATTTGTTATTCATTCCGGTTTCCTTGTTAGTCACTCACTCTCTCCCATTGTGCATGATTGCCTGCGGTGTCTCCAATATCTGTGCATGTTAAATATTGTTCATATTCCTTTTCAAAATTAAAGAAAACGTCTTTTAATGGTTGTATTGTACGCTAATTTTAGCTGGAGAAATTGCTTATGGAGAACTTGGACTCTTATGAATCGGCCGTGGGTGATCCCGCTACAAAGTCAATCCCGCGCATTGAAGCCTTTCCACCTGCTTTCCAAGCCGTTCCTCGTAATCCAATCGTTATCGATCTTGCCTATAATGCAATTGATTTCCCGTCTCTCGAGAACCGGATGAAGAAAGACAAAAAGGGATTCATAAGTAGGCTTTGGAGATGAATTATACCAGTTTTGATGGTCCTGGATTTTAGAGCACCCGAGTAGTTGCGATCTTGACAGTTTTTACAATTGTAATTTCTCACATTATGGACAATGTCTTGAATACTTGGTAGAAGCAAATTTTGATTGCAAACCTAGGGATAATCTTATACGTTGGTCTGAAACTTCTCTTTCTTTCATCCGGATTACAGAAACTTTCTGTGGAACGAAATAGTTTTCTAAATTGTTTTTAATCTCTGCTGATTGCAGCAAAATGAAAGAGAGCTCAAGGTGATGAAATTTTTATTGCATAATTATATATTACTTTTGTATGTTTATTATCTGGAGTAGCTTGGGTAAAGATCCTCTCTATTGGGATACAATGTGGGATATTTATCCAATTTACTTCATTTTTCATGGTGAAGAAAGTTTTTTGGAACCCTGTAGGTAATGAAGAGGGTTTAAGGCTATTTTTCTTAATGGTGCCTTTTGAGACTAATCTCGTCTCTAGATAAGGTAGGTTAGTGCAAGTTTGGGAAGTGATTAAAATTATAAAGTAAGTTAAAATTATCTTGCCAAGCTCACTTTTCATAGTACGATATAGTCACTTTATCCCCCCCCCCTCTCCCACCCCCCCACAACACCAATTTAGTGTTGTCTTGTACGTTGCAACGTAAATTATTGAATTTTCACAGGTAAAATCATGCATCATTATCCAAAGAATTTTGTCGGTAAAAACGCGTCATTTGTGGAAAATTCGAAAGTCACAGTCGTGTGATTATCTACCAATATTTCATTAATAAATTTACATCTTATTACCCCCAAAATTTCATGGATGAAGCTTTATTTGTTTAATTGTTAATAAAAACTTGCTGAAATTTTATCAAAACCAATGGTTAAATGGGCTATTCTACTTTAAGGTCCGAGCAATCTTGTGAAGTTACATAGAACCTGGTATTGCCTTTTTTTATTGTCTGATTATTTATGGTGAGACCTCGTTTATTTAGGTCTTTGGTCTCTTTTGCCCATTGATTTCTAATAGAATACGTCTATTCTTTACATTTCTTCTTTGTGGGAGTGTAAAATATAATTACATATCATGGAACTTATTTATGCATAGTTATCAAATCTGGCCCCATCATCAATCCGGTCAAACTACCAGGTCAGTGGGTTGTTGGCTTAACCTGTGGGTCACTGGTTGAACCGATGATTATTGTTGGGTTGAGAATTAAATAAATGTTTTTTTTTTTTTTTAGAAAAAGGGGGCCATATGTATATTCGTGAGTTTATCTTTCAAAATTGTTAGAACTTTGAAATTGAAATACTTGAGAACTGGTCCAAATACCTCGACTGGACTGGACCAGGGTGCGGTCTTTATGTTTGTTTAGAGCTTCAGCCAACCAATCGGTGTAAGGGAAAACCTTAAACAATGATATTTCATTTTGAAGCTTGGATTGTGCCTTGCATTTTCGATTTTTCTTTGACATTCTCTCTTGTAGTTACATTCCTTGTTCTTTCACCTAAAGGCTATAAATATAATATGTGGATTAATCCCAGTTTTAAAAATTTGCTATTGCTCATAGATAAGTTAGAACTTACAAGAAAATTCTTCGATCGCAAGTGGAAATTTTGTTAGCTTGTGGAGATATTTTCTCTTAAATTTAATTGCTCCAGGAGCTTGATCAAAGTTACTTGTTCTCTTTGATTGTATATACAAGGACATATCAGACAAGTGAGTACTGTAAAAAATAAATAAAGATGTAGCTCATTTTTAAATGGTTTAAATTAATAACATTAGATTATGCCATCTTTTTCAATTTAGATCTTGAGAAGCTACGAGTCCAAGGTTTATTGGACCTGTCTTTGAAGGAGACCCCCCCACCCATAGAATTTAGATCTTTTAGGTTGCAGTTTTTTGGTGTACTCAATTGTTCATTTATGTAAGAATGATAATGATATTACTCTTGCAAATTTTGGAGATAAAAGCCGATGTAAGATTGCTGAAAATAAATCATATGTTTATTAGTAGTAACCTTTTTTTTATTTTTTTGTAACTTGTTTAAGTGAAGGGAAAATTATTTATTTGGATGTAACTACTACTTTGTTGTCGAAATTAATTATTTGTTGAGATTATGTTCGGTTAAGTTAAAACAGTTAAATTAGACGCTAGAAAGTCAGTTTTATCATAAATTTGGTCAAAAATAAACAAGTTATTTATTATGATTTAAACGTAAGAATTAATAAAAAAAAAAACTTCTTCAATTAAAATGAAGTTATCTATACATGAAAGTTACATAAAAGTAATTAAAATTTATAAAACTCAGGCAAACATGCTCTTAATGCAAATTCAGATTTTAATAAATAAAAATAATAATAATAATAATTGTTTTAAATTTCACTTATAAGCAAACTTTTAGGCTTAGCCAAACATGTCAGTGAAAAACTAATAAAGTCGTCACTAAAGAATTGTTTGCAAATAGAAGTCGTTAGTTGAGTAAATGGGTTTGTTTAATTAGTCCCACATCGAATATTTAGTCTGGATGAGGGAAGGAAATGATATAAAAGGAGCGGCCCATTCACTGATTGAGGCACGCAGCCGTGCGGTGAGCACAGAGCGAACTATTCTTTCGCCTTTTACTAAAGAATACCGTGTGCTCGCCGCAATTCAGCGGCATACGCCTATTTTTGGAGGGGTCTCTCCTGCTCTGGTGGGAGTGCCCCAACAATTCTAGTTTAAATGATGTAGTTCGTAAATTAAGGGTACTTAGTGCCATCAGTGCCTTATGCTCTGTAGTGTTTTCTTCGAAGGATTTTGGAAAGCCTTCATTTGCTGCAAGAGAAAAAGCTATTGCAATAGAAAAAGCTTTTGAGATTTTGTTGTTCTGTGAGTTTTTAATAAAGTTTGTAAACCTAAGTCGTATATGTTGGAACAAGCATTCAAAATAGTAGCCATAGTTTATGGTTAACAATCTAAAATCCGAAAGCACAGTCCAAAGTGTTACCAGCACAAATATGCCGTGAGAAGAACCTTCGAAATTACACCGAGCAAATTAGAGAGATTTCTCCTCAGTTATTGTTCAGGAATAACAACCAAAACCTAATCTAACACCACCTTTAACTTTCACTCAAAGTATCGATCCAATGGCCTAAATCATTACACGTGTCACCATCTATGGCACGCTCGTCTCTGAAGAGAATTTCCAAAGGGGGACTCCTGCGTTATCCAATTATTGGGCCAACTTGAACGGCTCTCATTATTTTGTCATCTCCTTCATTTGAGCAAAGCCCAATTGTGAAGCACAAACCCAACACTACAGTTACGCTCTTTTCACTTTGATTAGCAAAAAAGACATTTTCCAGATTCGTGTTAAAAAAAGACACATCTATGTGTTGGATTTTGGTACCAAATAAATTGTGGAAATTACACAAAGTCGTACTTTGAAAAATGTGAGCTCTAAAATCAGATGGTAAATTTCATCTTTCAAAAATAAGATATATTATATTTAAATATTAAATATACAATTTTCATCCCAAACCCTAAAATTATTTCCACCAGTTTTCCCCTCTCTTCATAGCTGTCTCTCCCTCCACCATTTCCTCCCGCTTCATCTTCTCTCCTACCTCCACCACAGCCATTCACGGCGTCACCGCCACTCCTCCCTCACACCATTGCCACTCAAGACGACAGATTGTGAACTGATCCCAAGCGATAAGCTCCCAGTAACAATTGTACATGGAGGATGGAATTCCCAATGATACTTTCGCCACCCAACACAGTGGAGGTGATCATACCAAGCTCAACATCGGAGGCAAGCTTTTTGAGACTACTGTCTCCACCCTTCGATCCGACGATCAGGGCTCCCTATTATCTACTCTTTCAAACGATTGACTCTGGACTCTGTGTTCATTGACCGGGACCTGGAGATCTTCTCCGTCCTCCTCTCTCTTCTCCAGTCCAACCGCCTTCCTTCTACTGCCAAACGCTTCTCTAATTAGGTTAATTGGTTGTTTGGTGGTGGTCACAAATTAATTGGTTGCTGTTGGTGGTTGGTGTTTGGACGACAATTTTGTTGGTTGTGGTGGCGATAGTGATCTTGTTTGGTGGTGATCACAGATTAATTGGTTGTTGACGGTTGTGCTGGTGATTTTTGTTGGTTTTAGTATGGTGGTTAATAGTAGTGTGGTAGTGGATTTGATTTTTTTTTTGAATCTTGGTGGTGGTGGTGGTGGTGGTAGTAGCGACGGTGATCTTGTTGGTGGTTGGATGACGATTTTGTTGGTGATTGTGGTGGCGACGACTATCTTGTTTGGTGGTAGTCACAGATTAATTGGTTGATTGTGACCATTAAATTGGTTAATCTATGATTAATAAAAAAAGATAAATTGTAACCAAGAAATAACGTGACTTAAAAAATTAATAATTTGTGATTATTTAATAAGTTTTAACCTATAATATTTGTGATCTATGACATATAAATAATTTGTGACGAATAATTTTTTGATCTGTAATTGATAAATAAATTATGTTCTACAAATTTTTTGAATTGTGACCGTAAAATAAGTTGTGACGTTAAAAAATTTTGATTTGTGATCGAAAAATAATACGTAGCTTATTAAATTGTAAATCTGTGACCAAATTGTATAAATTCGTGACCTTAATATATTTAATTAATAAAATATCTAATCAATTAATTAAATTATAAACAAAATTTAATGAATATCCGATTTTTGAAATTTGAAACTTTTACTCTCATGAAAATTTCCCAAATAAATTTTGGGCAATGATGTTGGATAATTTATATGGATACCTTAGTGATGGTTCGACCTAAAAACAACTTGGGACAAGTAGCAGCTGAATTAGAAAACCCTAGAGTTAAAATCTAGGATTCTTAAATCAGGTGGGATGTTTGTCTTTTCAAAAATCAAAGAGTTGAAAAATTAGATACATTATATTTTTAATATACACTTTAACAACTGTATATCCCGTGATTTAAGACTTTTAATTTTAGAAAACTCCATAACTTCCCTGTATTTCAAAACCTTCCCTATGTTTCTTCTTCATAAATCTCCCCACGTCTCTTCTTCGCAAACCCACGATCGCAAAGAGCTTTTCGTCGATGTCATTATGCCTCCGGTGAAATCCCAGCCACAACCAACACCCACATTATTCCAGAAACTGCATAACCACCAATCTATAAATATTATCATTATGTGAAGGGAAGAACTCAGAAGCTAGAGCATAAATGACTCGTTCAAGGAACGAACACCGATAGAAGAACGTAGCAGATGCCTCAGGTAGAAGAGGTAAGAGAAAGATGGATGAAACACATAAAGTATCCCCGTCTAAAACGCCCAAATCCACGGGGTTAGACTCGAAATCTTCCATGAAGAAGGTATTACCGTTTGTTCAGTTTTGTAATTCAATTGAATCATGTGTACGAGCCCTAAAATTGATGGGTGATGAGTATTTGATTATGTTTTCTCCAGTTTGTGAAATATGCTCTATTCAATTTTTGAGATTTTGAGTTGAATGCTTCAATCTGTTGGTTAAAAATTATTTAATATGGTGAAGTTTGGGCTTCTATGGGATTTTGTGGGAGGTTTGTTGAATGGAATTCGTGGATGGGTTTCGAAGTTATGGAAACTCTTATTGGGGTTGTTAGTGGCCTTATTTTTCATATGATGCGTAGATTTATTTACATTTCTTAAACTAATGACCTAAATAGCATGTTTGACCATTGAGTTAGTACTATCCTTGTTTGATTTACAAATTACTAATGACCTAAATAGCATGTTTGTGACATGCCAACCTATCCGTGACCAAATCTTTTTTCTTCTGTGACCAGTATGCATCTTTAGAGGCCGTGACCTCTGTAATACGTAATTTAATTTTGTGTGATTCATGCAGTAGTAATGTACTCATATTTGTGACCTGTCAATCCATATGTGACCAACCCCGTTCTTTCTTATGTGACTAATATGCATCTTTGGAGCTTGTGACCTGTAAATAGGGGCTTTATTTTTGTCTTAATTCTGAATTAGTAGTGTAATCAATTATGCCGTTGTGATTTGTCTATACATATGTGACAATTTTTACTTCTTTTCTGACCAATATGCAGGTATGGAAGTATATTGTAGCATACATGATGTTTTTTTTTCCAGACTTGATTGTGGCATTTACGTGATTAAATATGCCGAGTACATGCTACACAATGATATAAGCTCCATGTCCATGAATTTTGAAGCAGGTAGAGCGTGCTTGGATATAACAATGTTGTTATTTAAACATAGAGAAATCAAAAAGGCAACGAAGAAGTGCAGCAATCTGGGAAAGAGAACACCATCATAGAGTGATTGTATATTGCAGTCTGCATATAATTCTGAAGTTGTAATAGATGGAATCTGGAATCTTTTTTGGATACTAGTTTGTAATAACTCCGTATCTTTCATTTTGGAATTTAAATAATTTGCATTCTTGGGATTTCTTGAGTATTTACTTTATATTGCTTCGAAGTCAATTATTGTGTTTCATCGTACAAATATATCAAATATTACAAAGTTGTGATCGGTGACATCAATTTTATACAGGTCACATATGCTTGTATTTAGGTCACATATTAGTTTTATACAGGTCACAGGTGTGTTTTTACAAAACAGAGGTTAAGAACCCACAGTCACAGCACATCTCACAGATTTTAAAGTGGTCATACCAAGGTTACAAAGACTTTTGCACTAGTCACAGATTAGTTTGTAGAAAAGTCACGGGTTATTATACAGGTCACAGATGCTTGTGCAACGGTTACATGTCACAGGTAGATTTTCAGATGTGGCACATTACAGACACAATCACAAATAGCATAGGTCACAGATTCTTTTTTAAAAAGTCACAGGTTACTTTATACTATAACAGCGCAGCTCACAGATGACTGTATAATAGTCACATATCTGTTTTACGCAGGTCACAAATGCTTGTGAAATGATCACAACATGTCACAAACAGATTTTCACATTTGACACACTAGTGCATAGGTCACAGATTTGTTTTAGACAATCACAGGTTATTGTATAGGTCATTTTATTGTAAAGGTGCTTGTGTTATGAAAAAACCACATTATACCAACAGGTAACAAAGATCACATGTTACAATTTCGTTTGAAAAAGCTACAGGTTAACATTCATAGGCAGATCACAGGTCACAGATGACTTCAATGTGATCACAACAAAGGTCACATACAAATTTTCACATTTGACACAATATACCAACATGTTAGAGATAGATGCACAAGTCACAGGTTAATATAGAGGTCATGCACATGTCACATGTTTGTTTTAGAAGTCATAGGTTATTGTATAGGTAATAGATGCTTGTATAATGGTTACAATATATGTTACAAACAAATTTTCAGATCTGACAATTTATACCAACATGTAACAGATAGCACGGGTCACAGTTTTGTTTTAAAAAAGAAATAGGTTAATTTTCACGATCAAAGATGAGTTTACTGTGATCACTACACAGTTCTTTACATTTCAGATGTATATGAATAATGAATAAAAAAAAATGAACAAATCATGACATTATTAATTAAAATAGTGAATTCAGAAATTAAAATAGTGAATTCAACGTCGAATCATTTACAATTCCCATTGAATTCAGAAACTGGACGTGATTATGTGATTTTAGTGTTCTGATTACGTAAATTCAGAAATTGAACTTCGAATCATGGGATTCATTGAATTACAATTACATACCCGATTAAAATCAAATTTCGGATTTCAATAAAGATTGATGCAGTCGAATTTGTTTCATGAATTAACCTATTGTTTTGATATAATGTGACGGTAATATTCGAACTGTGACCTGAATTGTGTGATTATTCTCACTTCAGAAAGTTCCGGCGACTGTAGACTGCAAATTCAGATCCCATGGCTTATGGAGATGAATTAGGGATGTGATTTTGTTATTTTAGGTAGGTGAATTTGTTATTTTAGAGAGTCTAGATATTAATGGTAAGCTGCCGCTATTTTTCAGGAAGCTGATATATATATATAATTTTAGAAACTTCAAACTTGATTCCTTATTTTTGAAATGGACTATACTTATACTCTGGATTATGAATTTTTCCCTTAAGTTAATGTTGCTCGTGGCCCAACACTCGTAGATTACCCAAGTTATTGGATTGGTTATTTGTGATTTGGATTGTTGGCCAATTACCCTTTGGCCCATTTGTTGATCTAAACTAATCCATTATATATACATTCCATTCCCGACCTGGTTTTGTGTGTGTGTGTTTGCACAATGGAGAGAAAAAGTGAGGGCAGCCGTCTTGAAGGAGAAATTCAATCATCGCTACCTCTATTCTCTTCCCTCATGGGTGCATTTAATCACCACAAAAGTCTGCCCTTTGTGGGCAAACTTGTGGCAACCGAAGTGTAGGAGTTGTGAGTCGGAGCCGAGCTCGCTCGATGTTCGTTTGGTAAGTTTTACTAAGCTTGGATCAAGATTTCTCGAAGATTTCCACTCATCATGTTTTTCCAAATCTACAACCCGTCTCCTTTGCACCCCAACACTTCACTAAAGCTATGACCACGGAAAAGGAAGAGAAAGCTATATTGAACATAGCATTCAAAAGGTCAAATAGATACCTAATTGTTCAAACTTCAGTGCCTCAGGGGCAATTTCTCCAAACAAATGAAAAAAAAAGGGGAAGCAATTTGATCAATGTAAACTTAACGACAGGCAAACTCCATAAGCAAAGTACTTTCAACTAGGTCTGTTTCTTCATTGGATTATTGCTCATAAAAAAGATCACACTGCAGCATCATGGATCCAATGATGAAGTGTAACATCTCGGAATCTTGCTTTAACTCGTACACTTCATCGTATACGAATCCTTACACCATCCCATGAAAGCCTGCTGAATCCAGGAGTACTGCTTTGATTTGGTCCGGATGGAGGTCTTGACCTTCTTTGCATTGCTGATGATAACATTGGAAGAGAACAAAAATCAGAAAGAGAACGACGATTTTAATGAAAATTAGTAATCAAAGCATAGTTACCCATCCCAACCGTTGAAATTTTTTAAAATTTGTTTCTTTACAAAGAAGTAATTAAAATATAAATTTCTCAGATCATCCTCGATCAAAGAGGTAGATAAATGTACAAGAATAGAACTTGTTGCAGGTTTACTTTCGAGGATGTGACTGTTGTGGATATACTGCCAACACAATCAAGTAGAACTGAGTTCTATTAGGAGCTCAACAAATACACTTTTTAATTAATAGGCAAAATACTTCAGTCTCCGTGCTTCTCGCGCCCAATTGATGGGGCGAAATTAATCTCTCCATTATCTTTCTAACATAGTATTATTGTCTCAGGTACCAGCCCTGTGAAGGGGGAGGGAGCCGGGGTTTCAAAATTGAAAGAAAATAAGCTTTACCTCAGCTCGAAAGATATCCAATGCGAACCCATTGAAACAGCTAATCACAGCTTGTTGGACATCTAGGCCAAGGTTGTCCAGAGCCCTCATAGTGGAGAGCAGAAGGCCTGGTCTGCGCCCACAAAACATGTGAATATTTACTGCTCTCCCTTCTCTTAGCCTTACCTCAACCTACAAATATGGAATTCATTAACTTCAAACGCTCTCCAAAACGAAATATTCAATGCCGATAGGCATTCTCATCATAAATACGAAAGAATCCAACTTAAATAACAGTCGAGAATAAATTTGTAAAAATAGCAAAGATTTCAAAAGATTTTGCAACTAAATTAATGAAATCACCCTTGTTGGTTGTCCCGTTGGACTAGATAATGGACTTGCAAATGCACTTGGGCATAGTTCTTCTTTGATACGACAGGGAATGCCTGGTGTTGTAGGCGTCAAAGGATAAAAGTTCGAGAGCGGAGACAATGAAGAGCTAGAAGGGGTGGACTCCAGTTCATTTTGGAGGTCATTGATCTTCTGTAGCAGTTCCTTTAAATACTCAATTGCATCTCCTAGTATTGATGCCCTGTCCATCTGTCAACACAGAAGAAAGACATGGGTGCAGAAGCAGTTCAGAGGGCAAAAAAAAAAAAGATAATAAAAAAAAAAAAATTCAAAGCCACAAAAAATATGGATATTCTTCCTTTTTCAAAAGAAAGTAACAAAGATAGTATCAGACTGAGACTGATTTCCGAAATACCCATTCAGCTCATGACCTAGACTGACAGCATATCCAAATATCCATGGATCCTTAACAAAGATATTTCTTTTGTCGTGCAATAAATGATGGACACATATTACTTCCTCTTAGGTTTTTTGATTATAAGATCAAGCGCTAACATGTCTTTATTAAGGCTTCGATCTGAAGTAATTGTATATGGGAAATGACTAGTATAGCTCCATATATGCACTTGCCTAATGCGTGCATTGTTCACGAACTGTTAGTTAAATAGATAGTTCAGAAAACGTCAGACTATGAAGTAAATATTCCATGGAGATACGCTTCGCCGTAGGTTTTTGGTATGAACTATGAAGATATTCAACCTTATTAGGAAATGCATGAGAACCATATTGTTAATCTTGCATATATTTTAGTAATTACTCGAAGGACAATAATAAATGTAAAAGTATTTTCATACAGTAAATTAGGAAATTCCTATGTACGCAAAAGCATCCCAATAATATCTAAAAGATGTGTTATTCTTATTGTACATGATTTTAAATTAACAAAATAAATAATAATAATAATAACAACATGGGAGAATAGAAAGAACTTTTTAATAGTTAAATTCAAGAGACGTGAGCATCCGATGCAAGCGTACAAGACGCATGGCTAGAAACTTGTGTGCGAGATGCACCAGAGATTGTTATCTTAAAAGCGAGGACGAGAAGAAAATGAAAAGAAAATAAAAAACCGAAAGAGAAGAATTAGCAAGTGAGAAAAGGACAATAAAGAGGAATAGGGACTGTGACTGTTTAAGAGGTTACAGATTTACAGAAGTATAGATTCGGAAGTGTAAAATTTACGGACAATTTTTATCGAATCTTTTACTTACTACTCATAATAGGATGGGGACCATGGGCTGTCGGTTTTAAATTTACGCGGGGCCCATCATACATTGTGAAAGGGGGGACACCATTCAGTAAGCCTCCTTGGTGTATATATTTATCCAAAATTTATTATCTTGTTGAAAATGTAGCTGAAGAAATAAATTGCTAAGTTCATTATTTTAATTTAGTAGCTTTCAAATGAATCCGATCTGTGGTCCAAAACTCAACACATTTTGAAATCAATTCATAGACTTCATGTGAGTAATTTAATGCTATCATACGACTTTAATGCGCATGCAGTTCGAACAAATATGCATATCGAAATATTGCTACTCATCAATGATATACATTAAAATATCACACACCGTTGAACAAAACTAAAATTTGACAAAGAACGAAGAATGGATGAATGCGAATGACTAAAACATGTCGATAACTATATGGCATAATTCACGAGAAATTTCTGTAAGAAATCCATACCTTGCTAATCTTTGGTACAACAGACCTCAGCAAGTAAAGCCTGTCATTGAGCTTTTTCCTCCGGCGCCTTTCAGCCATCAAATTCTTCGCCGGAAGCCCCTTCTTCTTACCCTTGTGATCCCCACCGCTACCGGTGACAGTACTATTAGCATTCGAGCTGTTCCCACCATTTTTACCAGTCTCATCCATCTTATTAACAGTACTATTCTCCAGAAATTGATCGTCAGAATCATAATTCAAATTGGACCCATCAATGCTAAAATCCTCCCCGTCATCCCCGCTACTGTTTTTCCTTTTCCTCTCATTTACGTCACTCAATTCCCCCTTCTTGTCATAGCCTTCAAGGCTCGTAGAACTTCGAGAATGATTGATTTCACCTCCTAAATTCAAAGCCCCCAAACTGCTGACACTCCCACTAGCAAGATTCTTCCTTAGAGCAGCCCTTTTTTGAAAGAGAGTGGGTTGTGCTCCAACTGAAGCAAAATCATCAAGTGGCTTCAACATCTTAGACCTGTTAAAGAACAATGGACTCCCGTTCATGGAACCATCCCCAAAACCCAGTGCACCAAAACCGCCACTGGTTTGAGGCAGTTGAAGCAAATTAGCTGACGAAAACTGAGGGTTCGAGCTCAAATTAAGAGCGCCCATTTGGGATTGAGTACTTAAATCATTGAAAGCACTATTCATCATCCCAGTTCCCCGATTTAACGCACTTTCAAGAAACCCATTATCACGACCCAAATCAAATGTCCCCTCTAAAAGATTGTTGTGAATTGGATTCATAAGTGTGGATTTTTGTGGCAGAAAATAGTTTAACTGATGAGATGGATCCAAAGAATTGAGAACTGAAGCAGATGTTGGTGAACATGAAGCAGAAGAGTCTACCGACTGCAAAACCAGTTGATTATTATCAGCATCAGTAAAATTGGGTGAAAAGGAGATGTTACCGAGATCATGGTGGCTGCCTCCATGCATGTTGATTTCGTGGCTGGTGGCGGCGGTGGCAGACATGTACCAGTCGGCTTCATTTTCAGCTTCGAGCATAGATTTGAATGAAGAAAGTGCACCAAATTCTGTATCATCTTTATTCTCCAAACCGCCACTGTTATTGTTCTGCGTCCATGAATTTGTTTCTTCCACTTCTTTGTTTCCATCCATCCACTGCATGCTATTAGTTCTTGACAACATCTAGAAATTCTTGAAAATATATTGAAAGAAAGAACGGCTTTGATAAATAGAGAGAAAACGAGGTCGGGGCGTTAAAGAAGTGAAAAAAGTGTAAGAGATTTATGCCTTTATCAGAAGAGAGTTCTCATATGGGTGAGGCAATGTGATAGATAACACCAAAAGCTTCAAATGTAACGTTTTCATGGCTGCTGTGTAATCATTACAGATGGCAAGAGTGTGATGCATGAAATATGAGCATTAAATGGCCTTTTATGGAATTTCTGAGCTGAGTTTGTTGAAAAAAGTAAGCTTTCTACTGCTTTTTGTTTGGTTCATATCTCTAATTAGGATGCAAGTAATCATTACATACAACTAAGGGTACGTTTGGGAGTGTTTTAATAGGATTTACCGTGCGCCTCAAGAATAATGCTTCTTGTCTTCAATGGGACTATGATACGTCCTGAAATGATAAAATTAGTACAACTGATGTTTAACATTGGTTTAGGTGAGTTAGTTTTATTAAGCACCTAATTGGTGTGACTTAAAAAATTGATAAAAATTTAAATCTTATCCAATTAAGTCCTTGTTTGGTCTGAGAGTGAAAAATGAGTCAAGCCATCCAATGACTGGCTCATGCCCATTTTGAAACAAGTCACTGACTGATTCGACTTCACATTGTTTCACATGCCGGTAATCGGTACGAGTCAATGATTGAGCTCGTTTGGGCTCCTGGACTGGCTCATATTTTTTTTTCTCATTTTTGGATTTTTTTATTAATTTCTTTAAAGAATACGCATTTTGGACTTATTTTATTAATTTATTTTGAAAAACAAAAAAATCTAGCTCAACTATCTCGTGAGGCCCATGAGCCAAAAGGCAAAGCCAATCATAAGATTTGGACACGGACTGAGCCAGCTCGATCCAGTGCCACCTCTAGTTTGGCCTCCACTTCTTAATATTCATTTTTTTTCTCGAACTCATTTTCGACTAAACAATTTATGAGATTCACAAATTTTTATCAACTTTTCAACCATATGTTTTACTAAATTTTATTAAAATCTAATAAGCCCCTCTTTGACCACCATTATTTGAAATTTTAATGGTTGGAATAGATTTTTTTGTTGTTGAGAATTTGTGGTTAAAAAAAGTGTTGGGATTACGTTTAATGTTATTTTATTAGAAAATATATGATTGATAAAAAATAAAAAAAATAATGAATTATAATTTTAATGAAGATCAAATAGAGGCTAAATATCTTATCTTTATCAGAATCAAATAAGGGGCTAAATGTAAACATATGAGATCTATTGACCTATCACTATGACGCTATATAGACTGATACTAAAAATATCACTTTCCCCCATAGTATCACTTTCAATTAAATGAGTGAATATTAGACTAAATTTGTTTAAATTTATCAAATTATGTTTTGGGGTTATGAATTTTGTATCAAATTCGACAATATGTGTCGTGGTAATATTTGGTAGGGATTAAAATTAAATTTTTAATAGATTTTGATAAGTTGATAAAACGTGGACCCATTAAATATGCGGTTAAAATTGATTATTGATTTTAATTTAAATTAAAATTTCGATTTAAATAATTACAAAACAGGCGCTTAAACTCGTCTAGGTAAATTCAAGTTAATCCTCAAGCTGGGACATCTCGTTAAAAAAAAAAAAAAAAGTTAATCCTCAATTTTTTAATGCAATATACACCCTAGTTGCTCTGACAGTTTAACCTAACCGAAATAGAGTAATAAATATATATAGTTATCTGTTTGAAACTTTGAGAAATAAAGGATGCAAGTATCTCGTGAAATATCAATCACAATCTTAATTCTCTGGGCCCACATTTCAGTAGCCTCTTTTTTTGTCAGGATTTGGTTGCTCAACGGTTACTTTTCCACCTTCTTTACGAGGCTAAACGCCTTAACCTCACGCTTGTCACTCCCCTTCACAATTAAATCGACATTTACCGATATAATTATCACATATACGTATTAGGCTCCATTTGAATCTCATTAATTCTCATTTTATTATATTTTTTTTTCTGTTTCTTATTTTCAATCACACAATTTTTCGTAAAATAATATTGCACGTAAATCGAAAATCTTTTCTTCTTTTTCAACCATTCATTTTTTTTAAAAAAAATCATTCCACCCATTTTCATTTACAAAAAAGGGGCCAAATGGGGGTTAGATAATATGAAATGGTATAATTTTTTTAAAAAAAAATACAATTTTACTTATTATAGTATTGTTCGCTATCAAACACAATAGTAGATATAAGGGTTTTGTTGACCTTGATCATGAGTTTTCTTGGTAAGATATTTGATCGAACAATTGTGTTGGTCTCAATCGTTCATTTAACTCAAATTTATCAAAGTATGTGTAGAAAATCGAAAAGAGACTTTTCACCCGCTGACGATTTTGAATATTCTCATTCTTCTAAATGCTACTAGCTCGTTGAACATTTACAAAGTAGATTACGCTTCAGTTATTAAAACCAAGTCAAAATCATTCAATACAATTGTACAACAAAATCCACATATTTCTTGAAGTTTCTCTCGACCCACAATTTTATAAGTTTAACACAGTTTACATCAAACTCTCATCTATCATCTACGCTGAGTAAACAACCGAAATTCAATCAAGATATTATATGAAGATCCAGAAATCGTAAAGCCACCCTAGAGAGAAAAACTTAGACGAAGAATAATGAAAGTTGTGGACACACTACTTAATCTGTGTGTAAATTAGGGTTAAGCCCTATTTATATGGGCTACCAATAACCCTCAATCCAACGATCACAAATCGGCCACTTCTAGGATCTGATCAATCACTTGAGTGTACCAAAGTATCAAGTTAAAAACATGATTTTAACAAATCTCTGTCAACTAGTCAACTTTCAAACCATGCCAAGTTGACTACACCTTTGTTGGTTTGACACTGACAGATGCGAACATTTTGAGTGAAGGGACACAATCAAACTTGTAGAAAAGTTGTGATAAATTTTACATTAAAAAATTTACGTATAAAAAAATCATATCCCATATAAATTTACATTTGAATTTTACATCAAAAAGTTGACATGGGTATAACTTTTTAGATGTAAAATTTCGAAAAATTGTAATGTCATACCCCATGTAAAATTTCCTAATAAAATGATATGAATTATATTGAGAAATTTGTGGCGTAAAAATAATAAATTTAATATAATAATTGAAAATTTTTAAAGAAAAGAAGAGTTAGACGTCTATTTTTAAAATGCATGTTTGTTGCAAGTGTGTAAAAGCATCACTTGTCTCTTTTGGTGACCGTTTAATTCTAGAATCTCCTTGGCACTTGGTTGAAATGGTTTGGCCATGAATTGTAGCAGTCTAATTGTTGAATCTTGATTGATGCAATTATTTAACCGTATTCGTATTTTTTTTTTATAACATTAACGATTATACGCGTCGAGTAACAAGAAGATGTAAACTCGTTGCATTATGGACAAAACATACAAAATCTGGCTTACATCATTCCCCAATATATATTACCTTTATATATTATACAATATTTTGATGTTTAATCTATAGAAACTTCAAAATAGTTGTATATAAAGCGTAAGAATCAACCAAGAGCTGTTGAATGTTAAGGATAATGAAATTGGCGTGAAGATATATCTTGAAAAAAAAAAATCTCTTTTTAATTTTTTGGCAAATGAATTATATTGATTATTGCTAAGTTTGCATATGTTACACGTAATTTTGCCGATCCCGTTATGGTAATGCTTTAGGTTAGTGTGCTTCATTTGCCGTTGCTTCTTGTTTGCATAATGGTTAGTTGCAAGTGTAACAGCATCAATTGTCTCTTTTGGCAACCGTTTAATTCTAGAATCTCGTTGGTACTTGGTTGAAATTGTTTGGCCGTGAATTGTAGCTGGCTAATTGTTGTATCTTTATCGTTGCAATTATCTAACTGTGTTCGCATTTTTTTTTATAACATTAACAATTACGCGCGTCAATAACAAGAAGATGTAAAGTCATTCCATTATGGACAAAACATACAAAATCTGGCTTACATCATTCGTACAATATAGCAATATTGTATGGAATATTTTTCCTTTTAGTGTAGGATTATTTTTCATATTAGTTGATTGTGTAATCTTTACTTTTATGTTTATTTCCTTTTATTGTTATTTGTAACTTTATAAATAGGGTCTTCTACATTGTAATAATTTAAGAGCTTACACTGTAATATCCATAAGAACTTATATTGTATAAAATCATTCATATTTTTCTTAACATCATTCCCCAATATTACCTTTATATATTATACAATATTTTTATGTTTAATCTATAGTAACTTACAAAATAGTTGTATATAAAGCGTAAAAATCAACAAGTGCGTACTCTTCCATGTGAACTTATTATATTAATGAGAAGAAGTTCAAAATTGGTCCAATTCGTTGGCCGAATCCATGTAAACGTTGTTTTAAAATTTGAAAATTGCACTTCTGGTTAACAACATATTGCCTCACTAATAAGTTGGTCCTTATCATTTCAAAAAGAACAAATTAATCTCCAACTAATCATTATTTTTGCTTTCAAGTTTCAAACAACTCGAACCTATATCAATTCCTCACGTGACCATTACATGTCCAATTTTATGAACTCAAATTTGCTTCACTACTTAAACTTGCGATAAATATGAAATGATTCGTGTGTTTTACGAAGTGACGTGATACTTAAATAAAGAATTAAATAATTTCAACAATTAAAGTTTGTTTTTCAACTTTTACAAAGGCATCTGGACTAATTTGCTCTTTTTGGAGATTGAAAAGTAATTTTCTATTAGATTAGTTGGAGATTTTTGCCTCGTGCATGACACTCCATGATATGAATGTTTGAAAATGAATAGGATACCAGTTACACAAGAAAAATTGAGAAATAGTCCGACTATAGGTAAAAATTTGAGTAAATGAAAATTGTTTAAATAAGATTTGGCCTGTTCACTTCATAAATTTGATTTTTGATTTTAATACCTACCACCCGTTCGACCCTTATTGGAGTTTTTAGTCCTGAAAACTTTATGAGTTTATTTATTTGCATAGGTGGATTTTATGTGCAATCACTAAACTTTTAGTGAAATAATAGGGATACTAAACTATACTTTGTCTCAATTAGGTCACTGAATTTCATTTTAAATTCAATTGGCTAATTATAATTTTATTTAGCTTCGAATTTCACCACTTCATCATACATCATTTCTCAAGCTGATCAAAATGGCTTAATTGGTAGCTATATCCAAACAAACCTTTCGTAGAATCGCCAATTTA